GAATGGGAAACTTCAAACTGGTCACCACTTGCAGCCAGATAGTGAATGGCAAGAGAGTTGTTACAAAGAAAGTGGTAGAAAACGTAAGGAGGAGGACTGAAGTGGAGAAACAAAGACTGTTTAGTCAGCTTCCTAAGCAGCATCGGTAAGGAGTTCTTGTTGTGTTCTTTAACGGGGAGACGTTCACATGAGGCTGGGGTGTCTCAGTGCTACCAAAGGCACAGTGATGGGAATCTGAGAGTGTTTTGAACTGGGATGGACAGAGGTCAACTTAGTTCAAACCTCTCCCTTCACAGAGGAGAGGGAAAATGGGCCAGAAACTACTAGGTAGCAGAGTAGAGCTTCCAGCCCGAATCTTCCCTTTCGAAGTTGAGCCTTTCCCTAACACACTGTCTGGGACATAGAAGGATGGTTGGTCTTTATAGCAAAATAATAGAGAAATTACTAACTCATCATTTTCAATAAGGCATAAAATCTCTCTGCCTGCTTTCCTGAGCATTTTCCAAAATCTGTGTGACAGTGGAGACCATCACAGTTAGGGCCTTCTGGGTCAGCTGAGAGCCCCCACCTTCATAAATACCATTGACTTCTCTTGGACTTTCTTCCTGCCCTACCCTACAGCCCCCACCCTGCTGCCTCTTTCCTGGTGCTGTTCCTTCTCGTTTCCTAGCTGCTTTCTCTTGGCTGTTTCTCTTCCCATCTCATCTTCTTTCTTCCTATACATTACCCATGAACCATAACATAGTTAGGCTGAATTCAAAGAGTTGCCTAGGTATCGATGAATGCTAGCAGAGAGAAAGAGTGAAAAGTAAATTGGTTAAACTCTTTATATACTCATTTATTTTATTTTATTGTTTTTCAAATTAGTTTTTAGAGACAGAGTCTTACTATGTTGCCCAGGCTGGCCTTGAACTTCTGGGCTCAAGTGATCCTCCTGCCTCTGGTAGCATTTATTGAGTGCTCAGTAGATATCAGGAATTCTGCATTGCATGTGGTATTTCAGTGGTCCTTTTAGTAGTGAAATACAGTAGCTAACCCCCGCCCTCCATATAAAATAGATAAGAAAATGAAGCTTAGAAAGATTAAGTAACAGGTCCCAGGCCCCACCTAATAAGCAATATGCTTATCTACTGAGCTGTAACATCTGTGGATCCTACTCATCTGTTTTTAAATCTAGGGTCTTGCCCTCCTTGGAAATGTAAATCTATCATCTCTGAACCTTTCTTCAATGCTTGAGTACTTGCTGGAACTTATTAAGTATGCAAACATTTTGAATTGTATTGCCCAACTGAAACATGAAGGTTACATTTACATGAAGACAGAGTCAATGTAAAAAGTTTCACTGAAGCTAAAAGATGATAATCTGTGAACACAGAATCCCCAAGATGCAAATTATCTCTTTGTTTGGCTTTAATCATGATGTACATGCAAAATCTTGGGTTTGTTTTGCTTTGTTTTGTTCAGCGGGAGCTGGTCACACTCCAGCCCCTTCAATTTATATTATTATAATAAACAGACTAGCATCCAAAGGAGTTGTTCCCTGTTGGAAATTTCCTGATGGAGTCTGCCTTAGGAGCCCCGTCTTTGAGTTTCTCCTCCTAAGTTCATTCCAGTATACCATGCTGATGGTCAAGTTCATTTGCATCACAAACACAGAAGTTATGTAACAAATTATTAGCTTTCTTAGAACTTTCCTGTGTGTGCAGTTTTTATGAGACAAGTGTGTTTTTCATAGTCTCTGAAGTTTTTCATCTCAGTAAATTTTCTGAACGGAGCACGAATATTGCCTCCATCCCTCTGGCAATGGGTAGCACACTTGCAGTAAGGAAGCAGAGGTGGATTTGGAACCAGAATGCATCTCGTTTCTTCCAAAGCCTATAAATTTACACTTAGTAGTCACCAAGGACATGGCAGGCACTGTGCTAGGTGCTTACATCAATCGCTTCTGATCTCCAAAGACCTGCAAGGGGTCATTTCCAGTTTACATGTGAGGCAACTGAGGCTGGAGGGGGTGAAGTCCCTCCCCCAGGGTCACGCAGTGAGTTGTGGATCAGCGCCCAGCTGACCCGAGGCTCCGTTCCCACGGTGTTGTGCCCACCTTCCTGTCACTGGAGCCGCCCTGGTCACAGTCTCGGAGGAGAGTCTTGCTGTGTGTGTGTATATTCATTTCAACGTTTCTAAATGAGGATTTCCAGATGGCGCTTTCTCGCACCAACCCCTGGTTTGAGGTAAACTGCAGCCTGTCTGCTGAACAAAGGGGAAATCACATTGGAGCAGGAAAACATGATTTTTCCATTTTGTCTTAAGGAAAATCCGAATTTCAGCATTTTTCACAGACATACTTGGCTTTTGACAGAATGCTGAGTTGTAGAAGGACTCTTTTTTTTTTTTTGCCAGCAAAGGTTTTTTAAAAATTCACTTTGAGTTAGCAAAGGAAGTTTTCTTGCATAGAAATAGCAGTGTTATCTCTTCCTGACGGTCTGTTTCAACTATGTAGCAAGTCGAGTGTGAGCAAGTCCCAGCCCGGGGAGATGGGAGCTGGAGGGGCTGTGCAGCCTGTGGGGCTGAGTCAGTGCTGGGCTCCGGGTGCAGAGCAGGGCGCCAGCTCGCCAGCTCGGAGGGGACCGACGTGCACGCTCCTCTGATACTGCTGCATGCAGGTCTCTAGCACTGCCACTGTGCTCGCCAGGTGCCAGAAGCTTCTCTGCTGACTCCAAAACTTACAGGTTTTACCAAAGACCAATCTTGAGGATTCCTACTTGCCTAAACAGAAAAAAAGAAAAAAAAAACCTTTAGGATTACAGAATCAGTTCCTATGTCCTTAAATAATTTTCTGCTCTTGCCCTATCCACCAACTGCCTTTTTATATATTACGGTTTTGAATAGTTGTCGCTCACAAGTTAACATGAGACATTTCATTTTCTAGTCGCTAAAAAAAAAAATAAAGGCTTCCAAAACTCAGAAACACAGTAGAGCAGTTAGAAGAAATATCTCGTTCTGTGAGGTCGCTGATAAGTGAACTGAGGACCCTGGTCCTGTCGAGAATGATGGAAGGGATGATGACAAGTGATTGTGTGACTCAGGGACTCCACCCAGGATTCTTGCCCGAGGTCACCGAATAGGTGTCCTTCAGCCCTAGCCTGATGCTGTTCCTCTCACACTCTCAGGCGTGCAGAGCGCTTTGTCCTCAGGGCCTGGCCAGGTGCAGAGAGAGAGTTTGGGGGAACATCTCCCTGGGGACGGTGTATGGGGGAGTCACAGGTTTATATAACTGCGGTTGTGCCCCCTTGTCTGTTGGTCACTGGTGAAGGGTGTTAGGTCTGGTGGAGGGTAAACAGGTAGCAAAGAGATGGCTGAGAGTGGAGAGGAGGAGCCAAGTTGTAACTCGGAACCAAAATGCAGGTAGGCACTGTTCCCTGGTGGGAACATATATAGTTAGAACTTCCCAGTGACCTGTAATGACCTAACTCTCATTACCATCTAATTAAACCTGTGATATAATCTGTTATATAACCCCAGCCTGTCAGTCATCCCAAGGCAGGAAAAAATAACCAATCCTGCCAGGAGGAAGGCAGGATAAACGAATGAGCTTATAAAAGGCAGCCGTGTGCTCAGACTCTCTCCGTTCCTGGAGACTGACCTGTTCCTCTCTCTCTGGAACGAATTTCACTTTGTGTCATTCTGTGTAACTTCCTTCTGCCTTTCACTTTGTATCCTTTCTTTCTTTTTGCTGTAATAGCCTGTTTATGGGAAAATGCTTTGTATTTGTGGTCACTCCATCATTGGCTCAAATCAGCACCAGCACTCACTCTGGGAGCCAAGAACCAGGGAACATCCACCCCCACACGGACCTGGCCAGGAGAAGTGAGCACGGCCATGAGCAGAATCCTCAAGATTGACCAGCTGTGCTGAGCTGGGCCGTCTCTTGAACCCAAGTCTCCTGAGACACAGCTCAGGTTCTTAAGAGACCTAAGGTTTTCACAATGAACAATAACAAAAATAAGGTAGCATGCAGCCTTCTTGTCAGTGTTTCCGAAAGTTTCACACCACTTTATTTATTTGGGGTCTTGGTCAAGTTTACCGAGGCCCATTTTATTTCACCCCAAAGCTTCCAAGTCTCTACAGTACCTAGAGTTAAGTACACCTGATCGTATGTCTGAAAGGGCTAGGGAGTGGACTCCGAGCAGAACAGGAAAGGGATTTAAGGGGGCGGGAGGCTGGGGGGCTGCCCCTTACCACCTTCTTCGGAATTTTGAGGCTCTGTCAAGAGTGAGGGTGGTAGAGGCCCTCAGCATGACAGGAGAAGTTGATTTTCAGCTTCAGACAGGATGATTCTCCTTTAAAGGACAGAAAAGAGTCTCCCAGAGGATGAGTCATTTTTCTGACACCCGTTATGACTGGCAAGACTTTCAGAGACCTAAGATTCTAGTCCTCATTGGACTGTCTACAAAACATATATTTAAATGTCAAGAGAAGGGGGATTATGAAGAGAACATTGGCTTTGGCTGTAGGTAGATGAAATCCTATTCCCCCTTTCCTAACTTCTTCATCTTAGGTTAACTTCTTGTTTGATCCTTGGTTTGCCTATAAAATAAAGATAATTTCTGCCTCTTCTAATTTATAGAGTTGTTTTAGGAATTAAGTACACAGAAAACCCTGCATAAACTTTAATATATTTTGTACATTATTCCTTTCAGAAGCAACATCTCTGACCCTAAGGGTACACGCTCTAAGCCTGCCGTTGGTTTTTATAACAGGCATTGTTTGTGATATGATCTTGAAAACAAGCTCAGCTATGGATTGTGTTCAATCCCAAAATATAAGTAGAAGCTGGAAGATAAAAACAGAAGATTGCATTTTATTTTCCATTTTGGCACTACTGAAAAAAGCAGCGTTTTTCTCTTGGGAGCAGTGGTCTGACTTTTATCGAACTTCCTCTTTGGCTTCAGTCTCCTCGAGCTTTTGGACTCATGTGGCTTTATCCTCTGCTTCCCTTATAGGAAATTGATGGGAAATCCTTGCTATTGATGACGAGAAACGATGTGTTGACAGGACTTCAGTTGAAATTGGGACCTGCTCTGAAAATCTACGAGTATCACGTAAAACCTCTGCAGACAAAGCATTTGAAGAACAACTCTTCATAGTACAATCCAGTTGGGGTCTTAGATCTCAAAAAATAACATAATGACATAATTTGGTTTCATGTGATGAAACTTTGTAAACAGAATACATACATGTGTATATGTAAAGAATTTCAATCCAACGTTATCCTATTGGATAGACTAGGCAATTCATTGGCTGACCTGAATTCAGCCCGGAGGCACAAGGACAAGACATGCACGGGGGTGGTTTTCCTTTTGGAGTCTTGTCAAATAGAATGTTCTTGGACACGACTAGACACTCCTCCCCACAAAGGCTTTGAAACCATAAGGATTCTCTTTCTTTCTTCATAGATTACATTCCAAAAATCCTTTAAAAGAAAAATAAGGAATGAAATAAGCGTCTTTTGGTTCAGGCTTAGGAAGAGTAACAATAAGAAAGCTTGGGGAGGGAAGAGAAAAGACCAAGGGCTTGCCGTCTTCCTTGAATTCCTCTGCTCCTTGGAGCTTGTGGTACTTGGATAGAATTGCCGACACCCTTTTTATAGAGGGTCCTCCACTTGACCTTATTAAGGTTTTATTGGGATTTGCTATAATGTTTGAGATGAACGTGCACCATGGCCCCTTCAGGAGCAGAATCGTGGCTCTGGGGAGAGAAACTCCATTGTGCACTGGGGCTATCCATCCATAGTCAACTCGCTTTCACGGGGGGGGTGGGGGGAATGGTATTTTCTGCATAGATTGGTTCTTTGTTTCTGGAGAAAGTATTTTTTTTTTCTTTTTTGACTTTATGGTTTGTATTTATAATAATTTGTTTCTGGAGAAATTTGTTGAGAGCTATAGATCAAAAAGCCTTGTAACTAGTACAGAATATTTTTATATATATTCCCTCACGATGGTGTAATATTTTTTTAATTGTCCCATGCTTTCTTTGATTCTTGGTTTGAGTACCTGTTTTTAAGAACTTTGAAAAAGTGGGCTTGCTACATCTCTGTTCAAAGAGACATTTGTTGAATCCCTGTGTGTCAACGCCTCGTTGAATTGGTGCTTTGTGGCTGCAATAAAGCATTGCTTCAGTTTATGCCCCGTGTAGCTTGGATCTCTCTGTTGCTTCTTCAGCTAAGATTAAGGATTAAAGTCCCTTGGACGCTAGGAAGAGAAATTAAATCTTTTAAAAATAACCTAAGCTTTTGATGGAGAAAATATATAGAGCTACATGTGGACTGACTTGCCTTCTTTATAAAGGGAGTCATCCGGGGAGATTTCATTCTCCTCTGACCCTCGCCCAACAACCAACTCTAGGAATCATTTTAGCCAAAGATTTCTTGTTTGCTGGAGGCCAGTTGGGGGGGTATAACTGTTTTTGAAATTCTAATGAGAGACTGACCTTGTCTCCAGACAAAGGCTCTTATTCCCACAGCCACAACTTTGCAGAAAACTGATGGACTCTGAATTCCCTCTGCCTCCTCCTCAAGTTAATAGTCCCTACGTATTTTATGCCAGTCTGGTCCTGGTGGCTCCCACCTGTAATCCCAGCACTCTGGGAGACCCAGACAGGTGGATCACCTGAGCTTAGGTGTTCAAGGCCAGCCTGAGCAAGAATCTGTCTCTACTAAAAATAAGAAAATTAGCTGGGCATTATGGCAGGTGCCTGTAGGGTGAGTCAGGATTACTTGAGCCTAAGTGTTTGAGGTTGTTGTGAACTATGACTCCGTGGCACTCTACCCAGGTCAACAGAGTGAGATTTGGTCTCAAAAAAAAAAAGAGTCCCTATTGTAGAGTATCATAATTTAGCCCCCTGCAGAGATAATTTCTCTGGGGAATAGACAGTATGGTATAGGAAGTAGGTTCAACAAAGCATTCCAGATTAATTCAATTGCAGAGATCATGGAGTACAGGAAACTTTAGTAATGCTTTGTTTTGCCCTGCAGTGGAAAGGTGATTAGAGCTGAGACATTTTTCTATCCTTAGGTTCTCACAGTCTGCCTGAGGCAGTGAGCACAAACCAAGTTAAAGGTAGAACATGGTCCAGTGCCATGAGGTGTGATGGAGACAGAGGGGGGAATTGCAACTGCTGGAGATCTGGGTGGGAAAGAAAGGACTCCTGGGTCAAGGAGAAGGAAAATGGAATGAGGACCTTGGGGAACCCTCCGTACCCCAGAGGGGGAGCCTGAGATATGTCCAGGCCCTGCTTCGGGGCACCCACCTGATACCTACTATATTAGATTGGGAAAGTTTGGACTGTGAGTGATGGTCATTGTCTTCCTGACCACCACCAGTTAATGTAAACCAGATAGATGCCTACTTACCCCTCGCATCCAGATGGGGGCCAAGGATGGTATGGGCCTTGTGATCTTAGGGACACAGGTTTATTCCTCTTATGGTTTTGTTCTATTAGGCTGACATCTATCCCCAGAGTCATTTCAGAGCCCAAAGTGCTACCGCAGCCTCACCATCACCACCTGAATTCCAGCCAGCAGGGAGAAGAAGAGTGGAAAGGAACAGATCTTCCTTTACACACACTTCCAAGAACTTGTACATAATATACTTCTTATATCTTGCCGTCACATTGCCATACTTAAGCTGACGGAGCTTGAAATAATTTTTTTTTCTTGGAAACCATGGGCCCAGCTGAAATTCCGAGTCTCTGTAGATAAAGAAGAGAGCTGATATTGAGGGACAACTTGTCCTTACCACTGTCAGCTGAGCACTAAACACTTGAGTAAATGACACTGAGTGTGTGTCTTAAGCTGTATTTTTCTCTGGATTTGAACTTGAGCTCAACTTGAGACCTGGACTAAACTTGAGCTGGCTTGAGACCAGGACTGCTCGATATATGTGATGGATGGTGGTGAGAAAAAAACAATTTAAGTAAATTGAAAAATATAAAATCATTCCTCAGGCTCTGATGGCAACTTCCAGACAAAATTAGCAAATTAGAGATAGTCTGTCTTCCTGGCAACCGGAATAAAGGCCTATGACAGACAGGCCTGCTCACCATGGTAGTGAGCACGGGAGCTTTCATCTCCACCCATCCAGGGGAACAGGAGTGCGATCAGATGGGGCCACGGAGATGCTGAAAGTACTCAAATTCAGCGACTGGGTAGAACTTTGTCTTCAGACAGCTGTATGAACAGGAGATGTCTGCGTCCTTCTCAGACCACAGGGTACGTGATCTGGACCTGCAGCTGGCAGCAAATACCAAGGGGGTCACGGACGGAGAGTGCGCAAGGCTGGTAGGAATGCATTTTATGAAAAGGTTTATACAAGGACTGATTAATGATGAATTTTATTATTCTCAACCAGACAGGCAGACAGAATATTCCACTCACACAAGGAATGTAAGACGGTAATTGTGGACCAGGCGAGGTCACACTGTAATCCCAGCACACTGGGACTCTGGGAGGCCAAGGCAGATGGATTGCCTGAGCTCAGGTGTTCTGGACCAGCCTGAGCAAGAGTGAGACCCCCTCCCTGCCAAAAATAGAAAAACCAGCCAGGCATGGTGGTGGGAGCCTGTAGTCCCAGCTACGTGAGAGGCTGAGGCAAGGCAAGAGGATCATTTGAACCCAAGAGTTTTAAAGTTGCTGTGAGCTGTGATGCCACAGTACTCTACCCTGGGACCACAAAGTGAGACTCTGCTTTTTTTTTTTTTTTTTTGCGACACGAGTCTCATTTTGTCACCCTCAGTAGAGTGCCATGGCATCATAGTTCACAACCTCAAACTCTTATGCTCAAGTGATTCTCTTGGCTCCACCTCCTGAGTAGCTGGGACCATAGGCGCCCACCACGACACTCAACTATTTTCTTTTTTTTAATGGGTCTCGCTTTTGCTCAGGCAATCCACCTGCCCCAGCCTCCAGAGTGCTAGGATTACCAGCAGGAGCCACTACACTGGCCCCTGTTTTATTTTCTTTTTTCTTGTTTTTTGCAACAGGGTCTCACTTTGTTGCCTCAGGCTAAAGTGTCATGGTATCATAGCTCACAGCAACCTCAAATTCTTGGGCTCCAGCCATCCTCCTGCCTCAGACTCCCAAGTAGCTGGGGCTATAGGCATTGCCACAATGCCTGGCTAGTTTTTTGTTTTTAGTAGGGAGATGGTCTTGCTCTTGGCTCAGACTGGTCTCGAACTCCTAAGTTCAAGCTATCTTCCTGACTCCGCCTCCCAGAAGCCTTACAGGCATGAGCCACTGTGCCCAGCCTTGTATGTGTTTTTAAAACTACATTTGCACACTTCTAGTGAGGTTAAAAGCCCCAGTTTGTCATAATCTCTTCCATTCCCTAATATCTTACAACCAGCAACTTCATACTTTTACATTAACTGTCTGGACCCTAAAGGTTTTTGAGTTTTAGGCACCCCCTACCTCTACACTTGTTCTAAAGCAAAAAACACACAGAGAGCCTCTTTAGAGTAAGTGAATTCAGGAACCAGAGATTGTAAGTAGATTTAGCAGAAAAGAAAACGAGCTGGCACATTGCACTGAAATGTGTACTTATTGGACATGATGACTATGAGGAAAAAGAGGCCAGTGAGGGCCTTCTCTTCATTCTGTTCTCGACAGACATCCTACATGAACACAGGTTTGTGTCCCTCTGAGATTAGCATATGCTGTTAGGGCCCCACACTGTCCTCAATTGTATTAGTGAAATACATCTTCAGGGGAATTTAATTTGCAAAAGTCTAATGACCCACAGTTGCCCAAACACTCCCATATTTGGAAGCCAAATGCAAAATGTACTTACTGGTGGTGATTTATCTGCCTTTGACGGTTCCTGCAAATGGGATCTGCGGGGGTCAGGTCTGGGCCCAGAGCCATTAAGTGTTTTCTGGAATGATTCGGAGGATGAAGTCAAATGTTCAAAGAGCTGTCTGCTGCAGCACAGATACGCCTCTTAGGAGAAAACTTGTTAATTCTGCTTCTAAACCGGGGACAGAAGCCCCGGGAAGGAGAGGGGAGCAATGGGTGCATTAATGAACCGCTCGTTAGTTTCGTGCAGTAGCTCCACAGGCAATTAAGTCGTCTGGGTACCGTTCCTGGCCAGTCACGGCAGTGCTACCGAGAGAGAAAGGAATGAAAAGGATCGCACGCAAGTTCACGGGGTGACTGTGCCTGTCTTACGTCTTAGAGTCACTTGGAGGTGGGGAGCCCCTTTATGTCTAGCCTGGCATGGAGCAGAATAATGGAGGATGCTATGAATCATTTGGTCGTCTTTGGCTGCCCACGTGAAGGGAGCTAAGTTGACTTTTCACCTCAGCTAGGTCAGGGTGTTCCTGTCTACAATTGTCTTTAGGGAGAAGTCAGGAAAGCTGGAGGTGCCAGGCCATCCCTCAACAGAAAATGGACCCCTGTTCCATAGAACAAGTATGATGTTTGACAATTAAGTTCGAGAACTCGTCCTAGAAAAAAACACTACATACCTCATTGCTAAATATCACTACGGTCACCTTCAGAGTACTCCTGTAGGCCATCTGGTGACCGTAGTGATACTCAGCAATGAAGTGGGTAGCACTTTTTCTAAGATGAGTTTAGAACTGAATTGTCCAGTCTCATATGTGGGCCAACCTACCACCTGTACCACAGCAGAAATGGGGAAGGGTGAGCGAGTAAAGGTGTAGATGATACTGAACATGCTCATTACCCGGGGACGGGGCCAGGGCCGGGGCCGGGGCAGCCAGATCTACAGCAACCAGACAAGGGAAGTCCCCTGGCAAGTCAGGCTGTGCCATGACCCAGGCACCGCCCGTGGGGCTCGCTCATCACAGGGTTAAAGGCCCTCAACTGCCAGCAGAGAGAGGTGACACAGCCAGGGAGAGTTTCTCCACAAGGCCTCCAGCTCTGTCATCTGTGGGGTGATCTGTGGAAAAGTTTCCCAAGTTACATGTCTTCTTCCTGAATCAGAGGCAGCAGAAGTGTTTGGAAAATTGGGTTTCACTTTCTTTTTCAGTAGATTACATTATATTTTTATATGCTGGGAAATGTGTGATTTGAAAATAACACCGCAGAACTCATCAGATTATAAACATATTTTGAGGGAAAAGCCAGTACATTTCTTCAAGCCGCCAGCAGTTTCTGCCTTTGA